TGAACCCTTTCTTTTTTCTGGGTTTTGGACATTCTCATCTAGTCTACTTCTGGAACAGAAGCGTACCTTTCAACTCAACAAATGAGACATACTGCTACAGCACTGCCCGGGGCAGCACAGTGCTTCAAGGAGTAACTTTTGGTGGAATCCCGACTGTCCTGCTGCTTGATGTAACCTGCTTTTTTGTAAGCCCAGTTTCTGTTTCTTTTATTGAAAATCCTTCTGGCCTTCTCAAAAGTTAGATTGTTCAGAATTCTCTTATTTACCAGGTAGGGATTTGTTTCTGAGACTCTTCAGAATAATAAATGTGCTAAGGCCATCCTGGGAACATCAAAGCACTTTTCAAGTATTGATAAAAGTTCACATACACATGGGGTGACAGTGTCACTGTATGTTGGATGTGTAGATGTAGGGAGAGTGCAATATCATAGGGTCTGCATGTGGAGTCATGGTGGGCTTTGTAGTGGTAGCTCAAATTTCTATGTTTTGTCTGAACTGCAAGCAGATTCCTTACTCTGGGTTTAAGTGCTGGGTACCTTTTCAGGAAGGGAACACCGTTGCTAACTTGATTGTTTTTCAGAAGGAAATACAATATGGGAAATCTGTAATTTCACAGATTTTTAAAATTAGATTTCGTGAAGCTGTCAAGGAGGTAATGTACTGACCAGCTCCGTCCTGACCAAAGGAGGAATAGGATTAGTTGCTAGTCTGGAGGTTCCAAAACTGGAGCTGGTCTGGAGGCCTGAGACTCCTTTAAAATTAAGGCTGTTTCTGTAAGTTTGGTCTAGGTGGTTTCAAGCCACCAGAAAAAGAGCTGTAGATCTGAAATTGACCTGATGAGTGAGGTTTCTGGTAGTAAAATGAGACTAAAGGGCTCACATAGTTCCTCAGTTCTAGAAAGCTACTTAAAACTACCTGTGTAAGGTCTGAGCTGGTAGTTTTGTAGGAATGTAGAGAATGTTCCTGGAAGTTAGGTAGTGGCATTCTTTGCTATTGGTTTCTTGTATGCAGCATCCTACTGTAAATCCATTTTCTGGGGATGTACAGTCTTTGGTGCTCTGTGCAACGGGTTGCACAGCATTTAATAAGATGTAGTAGGAGTGTTTGGGGGGACTGGGTTTTTTTTAAAGCTGTGGTTGAATTTTAAGATACTGAGTCTCTGCTTTTGAGTTCCTTGCTGTTGAACCCTCCTCTCAAACAACGTTAGGTAGTTAGATGTAATGTAGAAGGCTCTTCTCCAAGTACCAAGTACTGCAATTTATTTAGCAACTCCTGTATTCCTACAGTCATGACATGTTTACTGCAGATCCCTTTAGTAACTGTCCATTGATGGGTTTCTGAATATTATTGCTAGGCTGGTTTCCTAAGGAGGTGGGGTTTATATATTGCATTATCTTCCAGTTTTTGTCTGGCAGTTCCTCCTAATAACCATAGAATACATTAGCTAATTTCAACCAAAATTGTCAAAACATCTAGAGAACTTTATATCTTGAAATTCCTGATTGCATGAAGTTTAATAGCCAGATGAAAGAGAAAGTGCTAAATTAATATTCCCTAGTGGGAGGAAGGCTATTATAAGGTTTTAGTCATTGTGAAATGGTGAAATTAGCTGTGTAATCTTGACACGTGGATAATCTTAGACATGTATCCTGACTGGCCAGTCGGTGCCATCACTAGCACAACTTTCTAGCCAAACAGGTATGGGATGTAGGAGGGGCGAGGAGGTGAGGGCGTATGCTATATATGCAGAGAAAACAGGCCTTGTTACTTCTGCTTCATTGCTTTGTACGAAGCAACTTGTTTCTCTAAAAAGAAAAAAAGAAGTGCATCTGTGAAATACATAGGTTTTTTTTTCTTAGCCTCTTTCCAAAAGTGAAAATACAGGGGGGAGGTAAAAAATACATTGCAGAGATCCAATGTGAGTTTCTGGGTTTTATGAATTACAATAATATATTACTCTTAGTGAGGGTAAAAATAATTCTCCTACTTGAGAAAATAGTTGACCCCCTCCCCAGCCTGTTTATATTACTGTTTTAAAATAAAATAAAATAGCAAGTCTTGCATCATAGTTCTGGTCATTAAGTAATGAATAATAGTAAAAGTGTATTTATTAAAGTTTTGACTTCCTTTCAAGTACTACTTGCTACTTTTAATGGCACAAACCTTCATACACTTGCAGTTCAGAAGTATTTTTGCATGCAGCTCTCCTCCTTTATAAATCAGAATAGGAGGGCAGGTGTTCTGTTCCTGTGGTACCAGACAGGTTGGTTTGTAGCATGGCCACCATTGGACTGGTTAACATATGACAGTTGATTTAGGAGCTAGGATGGCGTTTTTTGACAGTTCCTATACACCTAAGAATAATTATGATGAAGTGGAGAAGTAAACATTCAAAGATCTTTGTTTTTATTTTCTAGATTTTAATATTCCTGTTTTCTATTATAAGAAAGAGATTCTGGGACTACGGTCGTGTTGCTCTGGTGTCAGAAGCCGAAAGGTAAAAAAAAAATCCAATCAGACTGATTTGTTGAAACCATTTGGGAAATGTGGAAGTAAGTACAGTAAATATGGCTTGGATTAAGTGTATTTGTATCAGTTAGATGTGTTTGTAATCACATCCACATATTTGTTAAAAATGCCCTCTTGCTGCTTTGTGTGAAATACATCCTGCTTACAGAGTTACTCTCTGTGTTTTCAATAATGAAGTTTGGCACTGTCATGAATTTCATTCTACAGTTGTGGGTTAAGGAAGTGGAGCTAAGAAAATAGGCTGCTTGTCTGCTAACGTGTCAGGTACCTACACTTTGATGTTTACAGAGTGTTTCTGCGATAGAAGGATATTAACTACTTTGTCTTGGCTCGAGCCCAGTATCTTCCCAGAGCTCCCGTATGCAGCCTGTGCCATAAGATTTCTGAAGGGTTTAAAAATAAAAAAAGAAATGTATCGTTGCAAGTTTCTGAAGTTCTTCACTGATTTTTAATAATACTGTGAATGAGGTTTTGATTTTTTTAAAAAAATATTATTTCTACAGGGTGATGTCTTGGGATATTTAAAAGCTAGCTATCTATTTATGAAGTGGGTGAACTTTTAACAGCAAGCCTCTTCCTGGTATTAGTGGTGTAACCAAGTTGTGCTAAATTCACAACTAAGTAACAGGAAAGAACACAAAATGTGGGGTTTTTTTTAGGTGTAATCCGTGTACAATTGTGAAATTTAGAAGGTGGGGAAAAAAAAAAGATGGGCAATAACTGAGACAGCTTTAATCCAGCTAGCTCAGGCAGCAAGAATGAAGATGCTCTGGTATAGGCTTCCATATGGGCTGTAGAGACCTGCATGGGACAAACAGGCCCTTGAGCAGTCAGACGGGTAGAAGCCTCTTTTATTGTCTGTGTGGGACTGTGACCTGAGCTAGCTAGGTCAAAATTATCATAGATACACCTAGGAATACACTCCGTTCCAACATGTATTGTTCTGCAATTATGGGCACATCACCACTGCAACATTTCTTTTTAGCAACAAACTAAAAACAGGTACTTTGCTATTTTTGAGGGCTACAGAGTCTCTAAATGTTTCTGGCCTTGCTACAGGACTGAATTTGTGTGAGGAGGTGGTGCTGCAGGTAAGGGATTTAATTGTGCAGAGTAGTTCTGAGTAGTGGCTGTAAGATGAAGGAAGAGAGGTGGAGGGAAAAGAGGTGATGTCTTGTAATCAGGTGTATCTGAACAGGAAGCCACCTTGCAAATCTGATCCTCTGTAGGCTTCCAGACATGTGTTGCATTCTCTTATGTTACTGTGGTTTAATATCCCGGTAAAAGATTGTTTTATTTCTAGTTCAGTTGTGTGCTCTCATGTCAGGAGATCACATGCCCTCCCTCTTCAACATGAGATGCAGCACAAGTTTGTATAATTAAGCATATGCTACAGGGTGAAAACCACAACTTTCATAAGTGAGTGTTTTTGTACTGCTTCCTTAGTTAATTCAGAATTGTTAAAATAATTCTGTGGAATTGCATAATCTGTTATGAAAGATACTTAAAAGCATCATTTAATATATTTTAGTGAATCAAGATACAACCGATTGTCAACATCTTCATCCGTACCTGAAGATCTTGAATATGATAGGGTGAGTATTCTAGAGTTTTGATATTTTTTTTAAATGTAAACTGTTTAATAGAATCTGTTGTTTTTTACCATTCCACCTAGCCCAGTGAACCAGTCATTAAACTGTAAGACCACGTGTATGCACAAATTAGTAATGCATTGTGCACTGTGTTTTTATAGAACCGTGCATAATCTCTCTCTCCTCTCTCTCCTGACAAACTATTGCCATATCACAAACCAGTATCTTGTGTCATTGTTTTTCAGTGACAATTTTTAATTTTTTTTTATTAGGAGGGGGACTTTATGTTAGAGTTTCAAAGGGGAGGCAGGGAAGAAAAAAAACCTACTAAATTTATGCTTAAATAACGGTTCAAAAAGTTACAGTATGTTCACATTGCAGTTAACACCTGGTTGGTCTTTAAAGTACATTGTCTTCCTCATGAAGATGAGAAAACTAGATGCAAGTATGAGGCTAGTATTAATGCCATGTGCTCTTAATATTAAAACTGGTTTGGAGTGGAAGATAAATTTTTTATCCAAACTTTTAATTGGTTCCATCTGTGGTCTTTCAGGAGTCTTTGAGTTCACAGATCTCTCTTATTTTGTGTTGCAGCTTCAGAACGAATCATGAGAAAGTTGTCCAACGGTGGCAGCCTACATTATAACACTTCATATATGTATCAACTTAATATTTAGCCTTGCATCTGAATAATTGTGTGAGCATCGAAGCATACTGGTGTTTGATCAGGATGGCTCTGTTATTTGTATAGTTTTCTTAATCTTTTTAAATCTGTAAAGCAACTTTATTGTTGAAACTGTTGAATAAAAACATGTCTCTTTAGCTTGATACAATTCACTTGAGAGAAGAGGCCTTCTGAGAGACAATATTTTTTTGAACCATAGTGGAACATTCAGTGAGATGTGATCTCTGCTGTACAGTTTCATAGGAGAATTTGTAAACTTACACAAGAAGCCTTTCTGTTAATGTAATCACAGCTTTGTTTCTAACTACTATTTGACTGATTAACTTGTATTAGATTCTCATGGAACTTACCTTTGAAATTGGAGAGTCTCTGAAAATGGTTTTGGAAAAAATAATCACCTTTTCTGCTCTAAAACAGTCCTTTAAGAAAAAAATTCATTAGAAGCCTCAATCTTGACTTCTGGTCATTGGAGATGGGAATTAGACACACTTGTGTAAATTTCAGAAGCCCAAGCAGTAAACATGCAAGTAATAAAAAAAAGCCTTAAATATGACAGACATATGAAGTATCTTGTAAAAACTATGTAGAGTATGAGGTATTTTTCTGTATGTTTCTAAGTTATGATTTCAGAGCAACAAGCTTTTTAGCTGAGAGATTGGCTTAATCTTACTTCTTAATCTTAATCTTAATCTTACTTCTCTTACTTGTACAGATTAGAGACTATATTTTTTGTATGTTAGCTCTTAAAACCTTCCTTCTTTATTTATAGGGGTTTTGTTCTTGGATGTCAGCTGCTTTTCGGATGCAGTAAGTACATAAAACAGAAATAGTGAGCTGTGATTTACTTTCCCCCTTTTTTTAATTAAAAAAAGGAATTTGCATTTTTTTTCCCTTGAGTGGATAGAACTTAATACAAACAGTCATAAAGGTGCCTCTTGTGGGGTGGAAAAAGAATGTGAAAACTAGGTTGGCTTATGGGAGTACTTCAGGATACAGTTGTCCTTCTGGTGGCAGCACAGGGACTTCTGGTCTTGTGACAGTGCGTGACCCTAAGTGAATCTATGGCATTTATATGGATTCTGAGCTAGTAACTAGGCTCTAGGCTTTTACCCTTCAAAGAGTACTGCGTGGGTGTTCCCCTGTTTGAAGCCAGCAGGGCCCCAGGCAGGAAATGGGATTTCCCTGCAAGGATTTCTGTGGAGAACTTGTGGTTTAGTTGGGGCTGGAATTGACTAACTAGGAAAAGCCCATCCTACTGTTTCCCACAAACTGAGCATTAAACAGGTGATGTTCTTTATATCTCTTGGGGCTTAGTAAATCATGATTTTTTACAAATCAATTTCTATCTTGGGTACATTGAAACAAAAAAGGGATGGGGATTGTGCCTGTCTTTCTCCATTTTTGCTAGTTCAGTTCCTTTCTTCTCCTATTTTAATGATCTGTCTGCTGACAATGGATAGGTGATGAGAGTTCATTCCAAAGCCTATTAATATCTTCTGTTAATTGGGTATCATAAGAGTAAAGTGATTATGTTGTAATTTACCTCATGAGGAGCCCTTATGGAGATGAGTGAACACTGTTACAGTGTGATCTTAAAGTCTGAGGGCTAGGCTTAACACCTTGTGACTGTCATAAAGCAGGAGGTCACAGCAAATGACTTTATCCTCTTTTAGGCTGATAAAAAAAAATTGGATTTATATTTGCTTTTCAGATTACTTGTTTTCATCTTAAATTCCCTCATGTTAATTTTTGTATGGTGATACTGCACAAGACAATGACACTGTTAGAACTTAAATTTATACATGAAAGAACACAACTGTGTTGAAAACCAAGGGATTGTCGCTGGGTAGACTGAGAAACTGGTGTATGTTCAAAACCACCCCCCAAAACCCCAAAGATACTAAGTAGACTGACTGTATGCCTTTCTGTCTATGATGCAGTGATGATGAGATTCATGAGAGATGTGGTGAAGATGCCATACATTACCTTGCCTTCCAGCGTCACATCATCTGCTTGTTGATTGCTGTCAGCATTTTGTCTGTGTGTGTCATATTACCTGTCAACCTATCAGGTGATCTACTTGGTAAGAATTTTTTTTTTGTATCTCAGGAGAATTTTGTGGTTTATGTAACTGTAAAAGCTTTTAGGATTTTTTTATTTTTGTAGACTTTGTAAGGTGTGTTGGTTTTTTTGTTTGTTTGTTTTCCCCTCTGTCTGATATGTATGTAATTTCGTGTGAAATTTGTATAAGAATAGAGGGTTCTTTAAACATCTGGCAAAAACTGTTGTCAGAAACAAGATGGCAGACCACATGCAGACATAGATGACTAGACCTAGAAGGCTCAAAGCAGAATTAACTTTTCCCATGCCTTCTTAATTGGTGTTTACCTAGGCACTCTTTATGATTTTTCAATTCATTTGTGCTTTTTCCTGTTTTTGATAAACCGGACCAGTTAATTTGGTCATGAATGAGAAATGTTTTCCATTTGGGTGATCATAAAATTATCAGCCATCCTCTGAACTTTTTTTTTACCTAGTTAGACTGTCTTCCATTGTTCCTTTTTGTCTTGGCTTGTGGCTCAAATGTGGACAAATCTTCTCGTCAGACTTCAGCAGTGCTGACTAGACAAAGAATTATTTAATGTTTCTTGCAGTCCAGTCCTGTTTATGTCTGCCAGGGACACCTATCTCCTTCCATTAACTCACACTCAACAAATACGATAAGTGTGTCCTCTAGTCTGCCATTCAGGTTGCTAATGAGAATACTGGTGGACAGAACTCTGTTAAACCCTGCTTAAACATTCTTCCATTTTTGATAATGAGCCCTTATAAACCCATTTGATACCTGGCTTTGTATCAGTCATGTTTAGAGAGTTGTCCATAGTTGATCATCTTGGTGAACAGTGATGCAGAAAAGGGAATAAGTAATTTGGTTTTCCCAGGAGCTCTCAAGCAGGGTACTTGCTTGTGTTGTGTTTTGTTTGTTTTTATACCACAACAATTGCATCTTATTTTGTGTAATGACCTTGCTGATCTTTGTCCCTATAATTTATTCTCTCCTATTGTCCTTAAAAATGTGGCCTAGTTTTTGTTTTCAGTTTATTTTCCTACATGTGTTTTAGAGAGTTTTCTGATGTATCCCTTGTCTGTAATGGGATACATTGTACCTGTGTCTTCAGTATTGTTTCCTTGTGGAACTGCCATCTGTCTTCCCTTTTATGAGCTCTTAGCAATTCTGTTTATGTTAATATCTTCAACTGCCATTGCTGTGTTTTGGTTTTTTTTCCTCTGCATTTCGTGTTCTTTCAAAGGACCATTTATCACTTCACAGTCACTTCTCCTTCCTTGCTTTCCATCTCTGTTCTCAGCCAGCATCCCTGGTTTTACAGAATCAAATCCAATAGAACTGGTGCCCCTAGTTGTTGTCTTCACCTCCTTTGCAAAGTAAAGGAAGAGATGCTGGTGCCGTCAAAGAACTTATAGAACATAGTTCCCTCTTCTGGTCTAGATACTACCTGTATTTTTATAGCAGAATGGATTCTGTAATATGCATCAATTTGTGTGTGCTGTCCTTCTCTAACTACAGTTTGATAAAAGTTGTAGTATCTTGGATACCAGTAGATGCTCTCCGTTAATTCAAATGGCAGAGCATGGCTGTCGGCCTAAAATGGGAGAATACAGCTTCTGTTTTCCTGCATTAATTTTTGTGATGCTAGGAAATACAGATGAAAAACAAATATGAAGTTTTAGTGTCTCTCCCCTTCATCCTCCTCTTCCACCATGTTGATTTTGTGCATTTGCAGTTCTTTCTGTTGTGATGACTTGCAATGTGATTTAAGTCTGCTAGACAATTGTTTAGCTTTACAGATACACTTAGCTTTTTCCTTTGTGAACATGTACTCAATTTTCACTTGTGTTATCATTTTTTAAAGTACTTGACAGTCTATAGAAAAAATGCCATGTAAACTTTCTCATTTTTGCCCTTAGTAAGGCTCTCAGTACTGTTTTGTCAACAATGAATTAATGCAGTTTAAAAAAACTGAGATAAGAAATCAGTGAAGATGGAATAAAAATGTGAAGGAAATATGTTAAAATCCTTAAACAACGTTGTTAAGGGACGTGAAGGGAGATTGGAGGGAGAAAGGGAGCTGCTGCAAAGATCTAGTATTCAGACTTCTAAAATAATGTGATTTCTCTTGATGGCTTGAATGTGGTATAATCCTGGGGTTCTTTTTCCAACTTTAAAATGCAATACAGTGTAAGCCAGAATTGATCACAGTTCTATATCTTTTTAACAATGAACACGCTCAGCATTAAAAAGAAGTATATCAACATGTAAAAAATAGTATAAAGGCTGACATTCTTATAGTTTGCATGTGAATGTTGCACCAGTTAATTATGCTACTTGCTTTTTCTTCTTCTTAGATAAAGATCCCTATAGTTTTGGAAGAACAACGATAGTGAACTTGCAAACTGGGTAAGTAAATCTTGCAGAATACTTTTATGCTTATGTCTGTTTACTGCCATAGTCTCTAAACACGTGAGTTGGTACTTGCAGCAGGGCTCGTGGAGTATGGAGTGCTTATTCACACTTCATCAACTGAAACTGGGATACATTCTGCTTTAGGCTATGCAGTTACAGTGTTGATAAGAAATCTAGAAACTTGGCTTCTACTCTCAGCTCTCTTTACACCACATATTTCTCTTGGCTAATGACTGCACATCAAGCAATATTATTTTCAGATATTTCCACATTAAAAGAAACCATACTTCAGAAGGAAAATAAAGCTGACAGCTTTACTAGAATATGTAACTCGGATGATTTAAATTCTCTTACATCAGATTTGTGTGTGTGCATATCTTTCCCATCTGAGATCACAATTAAAATTACTTATGTGTGTTTTTAAAACAGTATGTAAAATAGTTGAAATACAAAGCCGTACAATTTTTCTGGTTTATTCCTTGATCAATCCACATCTATCTGTGCTACTATGTCCAGTAGAGTTTCTACCAATGCACTTGGTTTTGGTTTTTTTTAGCCTCATTATGACCCTAGTAACTAGTGGAGATTTTCTGTTGAGTTGGGCTTTTTATCTGTAAAACAGGTTCCTGTGTTTTAGGTTAACTGCAATTATTAATGCTCTTTGCAAAACTGAAGAACTGTTCACAGAACAGAATTTCTGTAAACGTGGAGGAAGAAGCTATCAGATAAGCAGCATTTACTCTCTATATTAGGCTGTTTTAAATTTGAGTAAGCATTGAGTTCAAGGATAGCTCAGTAATGCACTGAGCACGGTAACTAATAAAGCCAATAAAAACATTTTGGCAAATAGTATGGTGTGTGGTATTGCTCATCTGAATGAGAAGGCGCAAGCCAAATGCTGCCTAAAAATGTCCATGTCGTAGAGTATCTGTTTTCTTTGTAGGTCTGTTACTCATAGAATTTTATGATAAGCAAGTAACCCTAATGGCTGTCCAACGCATCTGCAAGGGTGTGACCGAGTACCAGTTACTCCCTTTTTTTCTTGTTTTGTGTTCAATTAGAGGTTCTGATCTGCTTAGCATTTTGATGGCTACTTGTACCAGTTGGACAATTTGTTCTTTCTGTTTCTCATTCATCACATTTTGTTTGACAGTAATAACCTTCTTTGGCTGCACACGGTTTTTGCTGTTGTTTACCTGATTCTGACTGTTGTCTTCATGAGACATCACATGAAGTGTGTCACATATAAAGAAGAAAACATAGTAAGTTTCTGTATGGGGGTGAAAAAAAAACATACAGCATGTTTGCAAGTGGATAATGCTAAAAAAGCAAATTGCTAAGATGCCTTCTGCTTGCTAGAATGTGACATAAGTGTGAAAGAATTCACAGAAAGCAAAGCTCCACTGAGTGAATTGTGAAAATGGATGGAGAGAAGGGAGTTGGGAGGGATTTGTGAAATTTTGGTGTAATCTGTTACCAATGTAGAAGGTGAATGTGATGCTGTCTTGAATAGATGCAGCTCCCATTAAAATCAAAATTTCCTACCTTTTTTTCCCGCTCTACAACACAGCTACTTGTGCTGTGTTGCTGCCTTCCTCATCATCTTGTTTTTTTCATTCATGATGTGGTTTCTCAAAATTGGAGTTGCATTTTCTCTTGCAGGTTAAGTGCACATTATTTATAACTGGTCTTCCAAAAAATGCAAAAGAAGAGACAATACAAGGCCATTTCACGTAAGTTCCATGCTTGAGTAGTATCATTAGGAACAGGAGATTTAAAATTGTCCTAGTAGTTTTACCTGCCCAAGCAGATTTTTTTTTACTTTTTGCACTGTTCAAAATTCATACTATAGTATCCATCTTCTAAAAGCTTATTTTATTCCTTACACAGAATTGAGAAAAGACTATATTTCAATAAAGTTAGTTAGCTGATCTTAAAATCAGAAGCTAAGAAGGTGGCTGTGTATCCACACTTTCCATTCATGCTCCCACATGGCCTTTACTGGGGAGTGATGCTGCACATCTCATATTAAAGTAACTTTTAGCAACTGTCCACTCTATGATACCTCATTCAGAAATGAAATGAGTGCTTGAGATGTCACTTAGACATCGAAGATGCTCTTTGAAACAGTTTCTTCATTGTACTTTTTTTCTTATTGTTCTCATGTATTGTATTGTATTCTCATGATTTTTCAGTGCTGCCTACCCAACCTGCACTGTGCTGGATGTCCAGCTGTGTTATGACGTAGCCAAGCTTATTCATCTCTTCAAAAAAAGGTTTGTTCTGGCGATCTCCCCAAGTTTAGCATCATTTTATGAATGCTTTGCTAGTCCTTAATCAACATATACTACTAGTACTAAGCTTACACATACTAGAAACTAATTCGGCTCTTAGAGTTCTGGTCTGGACTTCAGTTAGAGTCAGCTGTGGTTTGAGGTGAGTTGTAGGGTTCAACCTGTTTCTTGTAGGTGTGATAATGTTGTGTGTTGCATGAGATAAGCTTTGACTTTCTGATTATTTATTTATGTATTTATTTAATTATTGTCAGGCAGTGCAAAGTGGAACACCCAACTGTTGAATTAATAACTCTGGGACCCTGCTTCTTTGGCCAGAGGTGCTGGTCACAAGAGAAAAAAGTGTTGTTTTCTGGGCTATGCATTACTTTTTTTCCTGGAGCCTCACTACAAATGTAGGCTGTATAATGCTATAACAGACTTGAAAATAAATTATACTAAGTAGCCAAATAAGGTATATGAATATCTTTGCTGACTGATTAATTTATCAGTCCTTGACATAACTTCTTTCTCTTGTGGATTGTATTCTTAAGCTTGATGTTGATACTGTTTTCTCGCAAAATCTTACGGGTGTGTTTTTCTGTCCAGAAAACAGGCAGAAAAAAGCCTGACTTACTATCAACACCTGCATCAGAAATATGGCAAACGGGTCCAAATCAACCCTAAGCCATGTGGTCAATTCTGCTGTTGTGAAATGAGAGGATGTGAAAGGGTAAGAGATCGTGTTTATTTTTAGTTATGGCTAGGTAGATTGTTAGAAGAGTAGAGAATAGTTTTTTGTGTAAAATCTTGCTGAGCTTCAGAAAACTATTCATTTATTGCAGACAGCTCATCTCTCATGTACAGAAAAATAATTCACCAAAAGTTTTGAAATATAATCTTAGTGCAAAAATTGAAGTACAAGAAGAACTTCCTGTTTGTTTGTCTTTGCATTGTGACATGATTTGGAATTTGTGGAAGTAGCATGAGGATGAGAGACTATGGTTTGTGTAAGCTGTATTTTAGTGAAGATATTAGCCATCTGGTACTTGGATGTAACAGTCTTCAATTTCCTGACAGGAGGATGCTGTAGATTATTATACCAAAGTTAGAAATGAACTGATGGAAGAATATTCAAAAGAGGAACAAGCTGTTCATAATAACCCACTGGGAATGGCTTTTGTAACATTTCAAGAGAAATCCATGGCAACCTAGTAAGTTTTGTCTGCTGTCTCACTTGTTCTCTTTTAACTATAGTAGTACAACTGATCTCCTGTTTGTTGTGTCACTTGTTTGCTTATGTTGGTTCTTCTTCCTTTCTTCTTTTTCACCACCCTGTGGATTTGGTCTGCTTTGCTTTCTGGTAAGTTTTCCCATAAGTGTACATTTAGCCTCTGTGCTTTGAGTGAAGAAAATATGTAAGAGACTAAATGGCTCTGGACATTTATTGGGATAAGGAGCCTTTCTCTTCTGCGTGGGATCCAGTCTATCAGTATAGGTTAATAGCAGGCCAGACTAATTGGCTCTTGAATACAAGATACTGATTTCTCCATTTTCTAGTGTGCAAATGGTCCAATTGCCAAACTATCATTGTGGGTGCAAATTACACTGCTAGTTGGTCATCTCAACATAGTAGAGGCAGTGACTGACCTGGCCATAGGTGACAGGTACACATTATGTATCTCTCTTACCTGTTGTTATAGATATATGTGTAGGCCTAGTGTCTGAGGTTGTTCAGTGCTTTTTACTCAGTCATTTGTAGAGAAAACGCACGTAGCCTCTTTTTTTCTGTTGGCACTTTGTGAGCATCTTTTTACTAACACAAAGTGGGTAATGGGGAGCAGAATATTATTTGTAATACAAAAATAACACATCATGCTTTTTTTGATTCTTCATAGCCTCACTGATTTAACTTTTCTGCATTCTTTTGACCTTTAAGTCATGTTACAGAGCCAGTCTTTCAGGTTTTTTTTCAAGAAGTCCAGAGTATAGAATGCCTTGCAAGAATTTGAGATGTTGCACAAAGTTGTGCTTGCTGCTCTTTAACTGAGTAGTGATTGTGTGGTGAAATCTGCCCCCCTCCTAATTTTGTAATGTTACCCACCATATTTAGAGAATCTAGAGTATGAAATAACATTTTAAGATGTGAAAGTGAAAGAAGAAATAAGTACTGAAGTTCCTTCTCTAGCTGCCGATATGTTGGATACAATTTTGATGGGATAGTCTTTCCTTGGGCACATGTTCTGAGTTGCACTGTGGGCATCTCTGGGTTGAATTATCAAGAACTGAAAAGATTTTTAGTTTGGTTAGCTTAGATATGAAGCAGTGGACTGTGTTCTCTGGAAAATTAGATTAGATGATGTGAAGCTGAGGCTACCATCAAATTGGAGAGTTATTTGGTGCCCTTAGTAGGCTCTGCTCCACAGATCTCTGAAATAGGATGGGAGAAACACGAAGCCAGGACTGAGGTTCGTGGAGTCAGGTCATTGTAGAAGCTTGGTTAATGATGGTGTTTGGTTGTATGGCTGGTAGTGCTAAATCTTGCTCTGTGTGTATTTTTAAAAATAAACTGCCAAAGTATAATTAACTTTCTCAAATACTTGCTGCTCTAAGATGCTTGGCAATTTGACATCACCACTTGAGTTCTGGTAAGGTAAAAATCTGGGGCTTGGGGTTATTTTTGTTTGTTTGGTGTTGGTCTGTGTGGTTCTCTGCTTTCTTTATGTTAAGAGCACAACTGAGAAACAAGCATGTTCAGGAATTTTAGAGTCTACCCTTTGGAATAGAATATATACTGTTTCCATCCTCGTGTAATAGAGCTTATGTGGAGTGGAACTTCTTTTACACAGTAACGCACACACAGTTTTACTACCTCTGAATATACACGAGGCACTTGTGTTGCTGTGTGTTGAGAAAACTTTGAAAGCATTTATCCTGGGCATGTTGAAGTTTTGTTTAAATACATTGATTGTCAATTAACTCATCATATTAGAAGATAAAATTAATTATTGTGATTATTTTAGGAGTGGGGGAAATGTTTTGAATTTTGAGAATACCAGCATGATAAAAAATTTTTCAGAGAATTGGTACTCAAGGCAAAATGGGCTAGTTTTGATATTAGTGTAATGAAATGAGAGGGCAGACTAATCCTTTTAATCTGCTTTGATTTGAAAACAGCTGTAATTACATAAAGAGGTGTTTGGGGAACTGGCTGTCTTTATTTTTTTCCAATGCTCTCGGGCTTTGTTTTATTATTTTATATTTTTTTAATACAAGTCCCTGCTGTTGTTCGTGTTGGTAGAATCACTGAACAGTTCAAACCAAGACTGCTTTTTGTTTCCCAGTTTGTCAGATCTCAAAGACCTTTGGTAGGAAGTGTTTATATGATGGTCATTGCATGCATAATATAATGTGATATTATTGTCCAAGTACTATCTTGATCTCTGTTATTAAAAGCAAAAAAACCTTTATCACTATTCCCAGTTTTCTCATTACGTATGCAGTATTTTTAGGTGTAAAAATTTGTAAAAATCCTCCTTTTTCTTCCTTACAGTATCCTTAAGGACTTCAATGCCTGCAAATGTCAGAGTATTAAGTGTAAAGGAGAACCCCAGCCATCGCCCTACAGCAGGGAGCTGTGCATATCAAACTGGGAGGTTACATATGCTCCTTATCCTGAGAATATTTGTTGGTAAGATTTCTGTCCTACATCCATTTATTTATGATAATGTAGTTTAGAATGGGGACAGGAGAAGGGGGCCGAGTGCGTTTTTCTTTAAGACTTTATGTAGCCTTTGGATGTGACTGATCTGCATCTTTATTTCCATTACTGGTGTTCTTCATTGACCTTGAGGAGGCCCCTCAGAGGCTGGACTATAGAGTTTTGCCACTCCGAGGTTCTGGTACCTGCAGTTTCTGTTAGCTTTAAAATTCAAAAAAAAAAACCAAACCAGCTTTATCTGTGCTTCAGCGTTTCCCCTTTTTTTGAGGTTAATGCGTATCTACTGTTGAGATCTGAGGAAAGCAACTTGGTGTTAGTGCTGAGTATTCCCCAAGTATGTATATTTTTTTTGAGTTGACACATTACGAGTATAACTCGATCCACTTTGTGAACTGTGGTCTGTCTTCCAAAATCTTTTTATTGACTCAGTAATTTTCCCAGACTTTACCCACTGCTTACAGGAGAGTGTCAGAAAATAGATAAATGCTTTTTGAATTAAACTGTTCCTGTGTTTCCTTCTTATAGGCTAAAAATGAGTAAACATTTCCCAATTGCTTTGCATATAATTTAGGCTTGGTTCAATGTAATCCCCTGTTCATATGACAGTAAGTTTATTGTGGCATTTCCATTGCCCAAAGCAAAACTGCAAGTGAGACAGAAATACACACAAGTTACTGTATTTCACCTGTATAAACTTTTTTTAAAATAAAAGTACACTTTTTTACTAATTCTTTTAATAGAAAAGTACTTTTAAAGTGACTATGCCATCTATTTCTAGTGATTGAGAGGTTTTCTCTAGAACTACAGTTCTGCAGTTGGGAATAAAGTACAGAATCTTTAACCATAAACCAAACATCTATGATTCTGAGTTGTGTCTTGCAGCTGTGTTATTTTGAGACATGAATTAAAAAATCTTTTGCAAGCTGCTTACCAGGTAGGGTCAGTCTAATCTGTCTTTTTCATGAAAGGGTTCTTGCACGCGTGTGTGCTTAATTTCCTCTTCCTTTCTTCAAGAACTGTCTTATGGACACAGGAAATGACCGTTGCGACTAAGTGGGTTGAAGCATTTACAAAGCTTTTCTAAACTTCTCTGAGAGGGGAAGACAGGGTTTTGTTGTTTTGGGGTTTTTTTTCCTGCTCTTTTTCTTTTTTCCCCTCTCCTTTGAGGAAGAGGAGACGCAAGGATTTGCCAAGTTGCTTACCCAGGTTAACAAAAAGAGTTGTCATAATTGAGGATGTTACTGAGCCTCTGTATCTCTGTTTTGTCTGTTCTAAATACTTGGCTTTGGCTGGGGCTCAAATCATTCCAGTCCTTTTGGGAACCATTTCAGGTAACGTATAAGAGCTTTACCTGTTTAAAACCTATGGTTGGTCTTTTAATATGGCAGGAAGTGATGTAGGTTTTTTTTTTTTCCAAATCACAGTTTCTTGATAGATTCTGCCTCTGATAGCTATTCTCCTTGCAGAAATTCTCTGCATCTTCTTCTGTCTCTTCTTCTTCTAACTTTGTCTAGTACTTCCATATTATTAAACAGTGGTTATTTCATTCCAAACCTGAACTATATTAGACATTGTGTTTGAAAACAATTCTACAAGCGCAATTTAAGTTATCATTCAAGAAGTGTTGCACATTTTTCTTTATTTCTAATAGCAACTGTAACTTGTGTAGTGCTTTGTTACAGAACTTTGGAACTATGAAAACTCAATTTAGAAAAGGCAGTGCCACCTGTTTCTTGCAGATAGTACATTTTTTAACAGCAAATACTTACTGCTTGTTTTTATGTCTCTTTTTTTTCAGGAAAAATCTTTCAGTGCGTGGACTGAAATGGTGGTTTAGATGGGCTTGCATTAATTTGCTTCTTTTTATTGTGCTGTTTTTTCTTACTACTCCTTCCATAATCATCTCAACCATGGACAAGTTCAATGTCACTAAACCTATTCACTACCTTAATGTGAGTATCACCATATGTTTGGATATAGCTGTGTATCAGACCAAAATGTTGATAAACTGATAGGTGCACAGTAAGACAATGAAACAGTGTTTATAAGCTAAATTCATTTGAAATTCTCAGGATTGTTTTACGTAACGGCTGATTAAAAAGCATATGTCCAGAATCATGTCTTTAGTCCTCTTTTATTCCTTGATAGTAGGCTGAAGTAACTTAATCTGAAACTTTACATTATTATAGATGTTATTATTTGTTTGTACTAAAAATTTGCATTCCAAAGTTACATAATTCTAAATTTTGTAATCAAAAGCCTTTGCCAAAAATGGAATTTCAAGTCCAACTTGTATTTTGATTTTTATGATAAGAAAGGGGGAATTCAGTTTTTAAACTCTGAAGTAAAATGCCATGGTTTTATTTTGCTTATTGGATTCCAAACAAGATGGCATCTGTACCTGGCCCTAGTTTGACTGCAGCTGAAGTCTCTTGCAAACTGTTCATTTTAAATACTTCTCCAAGCTCGTGTAAACTACGTAAAACCTTATTGTGAGACTTCACTGTCATGGAATTTAATTCCCAATCCTACTCTTGTTTTTTGTCTTGCACACCAGTGCTGAGCACTCACTCATTTTAAGACTGTGTCTGAATATAATTTCCACAGTCCAACCTGCTATAATTTACAAAAAGCAAAATATTTTGAAAGATTTCTTCACTGAAAGAGTGATCAGACCTTGGAACAGGCTACCCAGGGAGGTGGTTGAGTCACCATCCCTGGAGGTGTTCAAGAAACGTGTAGATGTGGTGCTTAGGGACATGGTTTAGTGAGTTAGGTGGTGTTGATTGGACTTGATGATCCTTGAGGTCTTTTCGAACCTTAATGATTCTATGATTGCAGCCTCTGTTGTACCACAGCTGCATTAAAATGTTTTTAATACTGATTCTTTTTTTTCCCCCCACTAGAATCCTATTGTCAGTCAGTTTTTCCCAACGCTCTTGCTCTGGTCCTTCTCAGCTTTGCTACCAACAATTGTCTATTACTCAACTTTGCTGGAGTCCCACTGGACAAAGTAAGCAAGATTTTCTTCAGTTTTGGCCTTATCAGCTGAATTACTAAAATAAATGGAGAAAGCGCTTAACTTTCATGGAGCTCTTAAATCTGCAGACCTCTTGTAGCAGGGAATGTCATGTTCTTGCTTTTTTTCTAATGTTATAACCAGCACTTTGGAGTTTAAGTAATTGATAATCAACACAGCAAGTGTAATCTGACCACTTGCTGCGCTTATGCTCTGCTCCCCCTGCCCTCACCTCTTTGTGTTAAAGCAGGGGGTGTAGCTTGAACAGGAGCATGGGAAGTATCTCTCATCCCATAATTAGCGCTCACTCTGGGAAGACAGGAGGTGTGGGTTTGTATCTCTTCCAGGCTGAGAACATCACAGGACCCCAGAATCCCACTTCAACAGAAAGTGCTTCAACTGCTGGCATGCTACTGATAAAAAGGGCATCCGTCTTTTTGTTGTTTTGTGCGGAAAAAATGGTCTGGATGTAACTCTGGTGCACAACTCAGTTGCTATTGGATATTGTTAGTGGTGATCTGAAAAGACCCATAGGACCAAGGCCCAGCAGTTGTGTTGATACGTGATTTTCAGATACGACCAGTACACTCCAGAGATGTCAAGCAGAGTGATGTGCTGCTAACTTGGAGGACTCAACACAGCTTGGTTTGGTACACCAGATTTCATCCCCAGTTTACCTACAGTCAGATAAAAGCATGATACTACATTCTAAATCCCAGCTTCACTTGCCTTCACTCAATCTTCTTCCATGATGCCTGCAGCCATTTTTTATTTGGTTTTATATTCTAAGGTCAATTTTTTTTTTGGTACCATTCCCTTCTAAGACATCATGTCCATAATCTACTGTTTATTTATCAAAGGTATATGCTTTTCATCAGCTTGCTTTGGTAGTTGCACTAGGCACATGAACTTTGAGCCCTTCTCAATCAGTTGAAATAGTTTTCTAAGGTTACTAGTGGTGACTGATCTGATTTCAAGCCTCGCTATAGTTATACTGATACGTCCCACAATGCCCAAAGGCTACATGATCCTATAATAAAACCTCAGTGGTTTTAATGCCCTATCAGATACCACCTTTAACAGTCTGAATTGTTTATAGCAATCACTGCACTTTTCTGGCAACAGTGTGTCACTAGATAGATGCTACTGTAGTAGAAGTATAGAGTTAGTAGTGTATGTTGTTCCCAAAGACTTGACACTTGGCAAGGACCGTTAAGTAGCTTGTCTAAGTGTCTGGTTTCTTGGCAGTGGCTCATTTTACCAACTGCCTAATCCCTCTTGGCATAACACTTGAAGAGCTATTTGTTTACAAGCTGTTGTGAGATGTGAGTATCAGTGGATGAGAGACCAGCTGTGATTGTCGCACATCCCCTTGCTTGTGGTGCAGGCCTGTAGCAATGCTCATCCAGAGTCTGGATTAAAGAAAACATTTCTGCACATTGCCCAAGAAGATATTGAGAGCCTGCTTGGCCCAAATTAGTGAATATCTCAAATATGTTTGTTTTGTGAGCATCTTGTAGCAATATGGTATGGTAGGGGAAGCTGGAAGGCTGACAGGTGCTGACATTCTCTGGGCAAGATCCTTTGTATGTGGAGGTCTTCCATATGAGTTTCTTATTCAGTGACTCTTTGTGTTGGTAGATCTGCAGAGAACAGAATAATGATGCATAAAGTCTACATATTTTTGATCTTCATGGTATTGATTCTGCCCTCCCTTGGTCTGACCAGGTAAAGAATCATAGTTTAATGGAGTAATATTTGAGCATTTTTATCATATGAGACAACTTCTGTTTTTTGGTTGTTAGTTGATGTACCCCCACCCCCTTGGGTGTGTGTGGTTATATTGTCATTATGCATTAGGTTTTAGTTTTTATCTTTCATCTGAGGACCTCATAGACCTTAAAGTTTCTGAAGACTGACTTTTCTTTTAGCAAAGAAATTTAAGACTTTGTAAGATCAATGACTAATCAAAAGTTGCCCATACTTGCCATTGTAGCTGAGAACCCAGTTTCCTGACTATGGCTTGTACTTCAGTTATAGTTGTTATTTTCTTTCCAGCTTTACAATATTTCACTGTTTCCCTGGCTAATGGGGTAGTGTTTGTCCTATCTATATAATAACTGCTAAAATTAATCATTTAAACTTTAGTATGAAGTAGATGTGTCTGTTTTGTTTGATTCTGTGGTTTTTTTCTCATTTATGACTATTAGTAACTGTGATAAAGCTGAAGTAGTGTTCAGATTGATTAAATTCTCTCTATTCACTATCCTGATCTGAACTACTTAAAGAGAAGCAATTTTATACAGTACTAAGTGTTGGAGACTGAATTAGTTTAACCATCTTTCTTTCAGCCTTGATTTTTTTTTCCGTTGGCTGTTTGACAGAGAATCGTCTGATTCTGCAGTTAGGCTGGAGTAAGTATTAGCAACCCTTTGCTAAAGGAATACTTAAGACTTTTATTTTTGCTGTTGACCAACCTTAGTTAATGTTTATTAAACTTGGCTTGGGGATGGTGCTTGTGGGATGATGCTGAACTTCTGAATAAAGGGAGGAGAATGCAAGTGATTCTGCTCTGAAGAAATCGGTATTTTTTTCCTGCTAGCTAATGTATACAAACATTCAATAAAGAGACAGTTATTTTCCCATAACCTTACAAATTCTGTAGAAGACAAGAAAGGACAGGATGATATGATGCCTGTGAGAGGGGACTAGAAAGCATACTGAGGGTTGTTGCATATCATGGACAGGGGATCTTCCCAAGGCTTACAGCAAGACCAAATAGCTGCAGCAGTTCTCTTTCTGAAATCCATTGACTCTTGATTTTAAGAAACATGAACATTTTCACACCAGCATTGCAAATTTACAGATATTGGCTATTATAAGCTCTTTTGACTGTGGCTGAAGGGAAAGAATAGAATGCAATTATTAGGACATAGTTAGGTTTCCAAACGCTGTTTCAAAATCAGTAGCAAGAAGACAATTAGGAGTTACTAAGCTAGGAGAGACAATTATGCTATTGCAGTCTTATCTTGTCTCGGGTGGATGTTGCAGACATCAAATGATGCTCTTGTCTGCTGTCAGCCACCCATCAGACTGCTGTGTCTTTTCCTGAACAGCTTATTCCTTACCTGAGCTGCAACTCAGCCAGGCTCGTACAGTATACTACACTTACTGCATTTCTAGCTGTGTAGTATTCCTTTTTCAAAAATGCTATTGGAAGTCTTCTAGCCACTTCTTCTGGTGTCCAGTATTTATTCGTATGGGAAGAGATTTCCAAAGGCGATGGGGATCCCTTGTATATATGCTATATTTGCTTGTCTGCTTTCCAGTCAGTGTCTGATGTCTTTCCTTGCAGATGTGTCTTTTTGCCTGACCAGGGAGCCTTCTTTGTGAACTATGTAATTGCCTCTGCTTTCATTGGCAATGGAATGGAGCTGCTACGTCTGCCTGGCCTCATCCTTTACACCATACGCATGATAATGGCCAAGTCCACAGCAGAAAGGAAAAATATTAAACAGGTATTAGAGTCCCTCCTTAGCAAGAGGCAATTAAATGACTGATCCTTATCAGAAACAGTGGGAACCCTCATCCTTCGTATCATTAACTCATCTCCTGTCTTTTTTTTTTTTGGCCTTTGTTTCATTCATCCATGACAGGTTCATATTCCCTTCGTTTGCAGCACAGATAACAGGGAGGTATTTATTCAAGTCAGAGATGGTCAAAAAACAAAACCCAAGCTCTGAACTTCAGGTAGTATTCTCTTCATAGCTCCCAGTCAGAGTTTTATGATTTGGATTTTATAGGATAATTCTGATTTTATTTTATAGTCTAAACTTCAGGTTTTTAAAAATTCAAATCTGTCTATAGTTAGTTTCTTCTCTCAGCCCACAGGTTGTGTAAAACTTACTTTAATCTGAACATGCACCTAGCAAAGTATATAGTTATTGTTTATGTTCCACATTAAGTGGTGGACTTTCACTTCCAGATCATGTGTTGCCTTGTGGCTTGAAATTCCAGTGTTACAGTGGGAACTTAAGCCTGTATACTGCTGCCCCATTCTTCTTTTACTTCTTTCTTTTTTATCTTTTTTCTTTTTTTTTCTTTTTCTTTCTTTTTTTCTTCCTTTTTTTTCTTTTCTTATGGGTGGATGGGTGGTTCCCTTGTTAGAAGATTCTTTTAAACATTCACTTCTATTAACTGTTGCATATTACCCCTTGCCCTGGTTGAAATGATTTATATTGATCTCCTCATCCCAAGAGGAAAAAGTGGGAATACTGACCACACCAAAATTTTGATATCTTGAGCTTTCATTTTGGTATCTTGAGTTTTCCCTACGGTGAAAGCTAACACAAGGATACATATTCACAACACAATGGCACAAGTTCAGTGGAATCTGTAGTGAGACGAAGGTTCTGAGTTTGGCGCAAGTATTTTCTGCCTCGTGGTTTTAAGTAGTTGCTTCTTGTAGATGAAAACAGATTCCCTGAGGAGTTACTTTAAGGCTATGAAGGAAACAGCATATTTTCCTGTAAGTACAGATGCTTAAAATGCATAATACTTCATCTCTCTAATTATGTCATTTATGCCTCTTAGGGAAATATTCTGTCTCTATGAGAGATCAGTTAAGAGAAGGTGAATTCTTGCCTTAGTGAATCTGTTCTTAACTCCTGGCACATTGATAGATGACATGAGAGTTTTAAGTGTTTTGGTTTTGTTCCTAGCAACAAGCATTTGAATATGAATTTGGAGCAATGTATGCCTGGATGTTGTGTGTGTTCACTGTCATCATGGCCTATAGCATTACGTGTCCCATCATTGTCCCATTTGGTAAGTTTTCTGATGTGCTGTGGGCATTGTCTGAGTGAGATGGGGGCATGTGGGAGGTTTGGAAGGCCCAGTTCTGCATTCTTATTCCAGTTCAAATGCTGGTAATCCTTAGGGCTTGGATCCAAGTGTCCTTCCCTTCTTGTGCAAAAACAGGGCAGAAGACGGTGAATTACTTAGCTCTCGTACTGCCTTTAGAAGTTGAAAGTATATTTAATGTCTACTAGATGCTTATTTTATGTCTCAAGTTTGAGTGTATTAACTCTGGTGGTGGTTTTTAATAGTTAAGCGCAGGAGTTTTAGGTAGGTTTGGGGATGAGGGGATTATTTTTATCTCTGGGTTCTTGAGGTCTGTGAGAAGCAAGCTGCAAAGGGTACCCAGACTGGAGGTCCACCTTAAGCAGACAAACTTGACTTGAGACATTCTGATCCCCAAATCCTTTAGGCACATTTGAAATAACTTTTGTCCTAAAGTTTGATGTATATAAAATGAAGCACAAAAATAAGTGTGGTGATCTGGTAGCAAGAGACTGGAAAACTACCTGTCTTTTTCACTACTGCAACTCTTCTGCATCACAAACCATTTATCTAAAGTTCCACATCGTGAATAAGAACAAGCAAAGAGGCTGTGGTCATCACTGCGCTATGGACAGCTGTATGCTCCGTGGTCCTGGCTGCAGGGATGTGACCTAATGACATGCTGGCTGCTTTTCTGGGACGTGGTCTTGGAGAACACCATAGCTGCCCTTTGACCAGATTGTATGTTCCATGGTCCTGGCTGCAGGGATGTGACCTAATTACATGCTGGCTGCCTTTCTGGGACATGGTCTCGGAGAACACCATAGCTGCCCTTTGACCAGAGAAGGAAATGCTGTGTACTCTGGTAGATTTGCTGGCTTAAAAAAATCAGTTAACTAGAGGTTCAGGGCATGTGGGCAGAGCACAGCTGCTCTGTCGTATAGATGGAGCTGCAGTCCTACAGGACTCTGAGAAGGTCTCCAGATCTCTGGGTCACAGACCTTTTTCTAGGATGTTTCTCTTATTCGGTTATCTCTGTCCCATGAGCAAAACTTAACATTTCTGCCTTAAGCTGCCTATGTATCTGGCTTTGGCTACTTTCTTCTTCCTGTACCCGCCATCAAATCATGTATGGGAGTGCAAGAAACTTAGCAGTCTGTCTAGAAGTCATGGACAGTTGTCCATCTTTAGTGACTGTGATGTGATCTATGTCTTGTTTTATTGCATCTTTCATTCACAGAGATTCTGGACCGTTGTAAGAATTATGTATAATCATTTCAGCAGCTATAGATATTTTCACTCAGGAAACTTGTTTATGAGACATAAGTAGTACTGAATCATTTTATATAGTTGGTATTTTTCTTTTTGAATCCAAAATTTTAGAGAGCTAGGTACAGCAGAATTAGCTAGATTAGGTGTTGTCCAGAACTGGTGTTAATCAACAACCTTATTATTTGGAGAATGTGACCATTTTTTTTGTAAAAAGTACTTGTTATTTATTTATGTTTCCTTTTGTGTGCAGTTGTAAATATCTGAATGTGCTACAGCATACCAGAGCTGTTGCAGTTCATAGTAGCTGTCACAGCAGTAACTGGCTTTTTTTTTTTTTTTTTGAGATAAGAAATAGCTGACTTGAAATCCAGTCATGAATCTGTTGAAGGGAGACATTAAGCCACTGTTAGACCTTTCTTCCTTACCAGTACAATGGTGGAGGAGTTGCCAAGTCTTCTCTACTGGTTGGCCTAGTGTGCCAGCACTGGGAAGGAACTCTGAGTTCTCCCTGGGAGCACAAATGGAGAGCTGCAGAGGAGTGTGAGAGAGAGGGAGGGATGGGGAGACCCTGGAGGTCTTGGACTGGGGATGCAGCAACCTTAGGAGCAAGCTGCTGTCATGCAGCTGCACTGCATTAATATTTGGGCGACACCCACCGTTGGTATCATGATTTTCAGTCACTTGGTTAATGTAGATCTCCTCACAGAATTGCTGCTTTTTATCTCCTTGGCTCTCCCTTTTTTCCTTCCAGGTTTGATATACATACTCCTGAAGCACATGGTTGACCGTTATAATCTTTACTATGCATATCTCCCTGCCAAGCTGGAGAAGAAGATGCACTTTGCAGCTGTGAATCAAGCCCTTGCAGCTCCAATTCTCTGCCTTTTCTGGCTCTATTTTTTCTCATTCTTGCGGCTAGGTAAGTATTACCTTTTTCCACCTAGAAGCTGCTCCTGCTGCTCTTGCCAACTTCCCTAAATTACATGTGAAGTTTCATAGGCTTCGTGGGCTTTTCTTTTTGCTTCCGTAAATGGGAAGTTGTGGTGGTTACCTGTGGCACTGGATTATACAACTTTTGCAGCTTACACAAGTTTGCGTAAGATACGCTGATGGAGATGGCTGATATGTTAACTTAAAACTGTTAGGATGGAGCTTCGTATTTCTTAATTTTACAGGAGATCATGTGTTCCCTAAATCTGTAGAGTCTGAATTGTCCATTTGGGCCGTGGAGTGACAGACCGTAAAAAATCATTAAATAAAGCAAAAATCTATTCAGAATTAGCTCTTTCTAGTAAAATAGTCTCTGGCTTCACTGCCTGCATTGTGTAGTCTGTGTGTAAGTTTAATTTGCCTGGATGAATTGGCCACTGTCTCTGTTGTACAGCTGTCATTTAGAAAATACTGTTAAAATGTTGGCTAATGCTAGTAAGACGTGTTCTACATCATCGTCAAGCATTATGTGGAAGGCTACAGTGAGATAGTGACTCTCCTCCCATATTGTAATTTAAAAACTCATGTTCTGTATGTAATTTATTTTAAAAATAGGGGCGTTCTGTATTTGCAAATACTTGGCATTGATAGTATGGCTGTGGTGTACTAGCAGCTTTGACATCAGAAAAGGTAGGCGATAGTTTATGGCTTTTTATCTGTGACATAGGAGGAAGCATTTGGCATGGAACAGGGATGCTAGTGATGCTGGAAGGAGTTGAACTTCCCTTCTTGGGAAGGAGGCCCTTGGAATATGACTTTATTTTGCCCTCTTCTCTGCTTTCACGGCACTTACGATAAATGACCATGCTTGAATTGTGGTTTTCTAGCATACCAGTAGTAAAAAAGATATTGTTGTCAGGCTGTCATCTAACTTTACAGAGGTGGATGTAAGAGGCACTCGAACTATTGCTTGGATTTGAGCAGATGTCCCAGCATTATTTGTATGTTTGGCATACTGGTTTTTTCCTTGTTTTGAGAGTTATCTTTGCAACCAGGAAGACCAACAAACCTACGTCCTCTAAAATAATGACAGAATTTCTAGAGCAAGCTTGAGAAAAACTAACTCAAAACATGCAGAAATTGATGTGCCTCTTTAATTGTTATGAAGGAAATCCCGGTTAATTTTACTACTGGTGTAGTAAAAATTAAATCTTTATTATAATGTTTTCTGGCTTTGCATCTGTGGTAAAACCATCATTTGTCATGGAACTTAGTAATGGAAAACACAGATGGAATTAGCGTGTTTGGCTTGGTCAGTAGAGAGGATCCTGTTTACAGGATGTTGTTCGGCAGCTTGTCAGTGCACAGGGCAGTCTAGCCAAGTGGTATCAGTGTGAGAGATAGGAACCTGAGATTTTGATTTCATTGTCGTTGATTTCATTGCTGCTGCTTGTGCCAAAGAGAAAGGAGGAGGAATGCTCTGCTTCCTTGTCTGCAAAATAAATCAGTTTATGGTGTGTAAAGCTTGATTGCTTAGTCATTGATTTGTCTAGTTTGCCTAGACATATTTGGATATTTCGGTCTGGTTGCAGTGTACAGTGATAATACTCTATTTTCTCATTCATATTAACGTAAGGCTGGAAGGACTTCTATCCCAGTTCTCAGTCAGGATCAAGTATCACTGGACTGCATACAGAAAGTGATAGACTGTACTGGTGCCATCTATTTCCTTCTCAGTCGCTGTTTTCTTCCTCAGCACTCATGCCATCCGTCCATCATACACCAAAAGCATCACTGAGCCTCTCACAGCAGAGGAGGCAATGTACATCTGCAGTTCAGCCTCTGTCTCCTGGGATAATCACTTAAGTTCTGTGTTCTCTAGAGCTGGTGGCAGGTAGGAGTGCTGAGGACACAGGGCAGGGAAAACTGATCTTTGGGGATTTCTTCTGTTTCTGCTGTTTGCATTGTGTTTCATGCCTGTTGTGGTTTGACCCAGCTGGCAACGCAATACCACGCTGCTGCTCGCTCACCCTCCCCTCTCCTGGGGAATGGGGGAGAGAA